TAAAAAACTCCTAAACATGCAAATTTATACTGAAGAATTCCTGCAGAATAATCCCTGAAGCATATTCCTAATTCTAAGGTATCAATTTCAGCCACAAAGAGTATCTCAGGCTTCCAAAGTCACATAAACATCTTATTTTCTTTATTTCTGTATTATTTCTCACATAGTGTATCTCGGTGGCTTATTTTATCATCCAATAAGATTCTGACACAATAAGTACTGTGTAACGGGTCAATTATTTGTGTATTAACACAACACTCTGTGATCATATAATAGAGCATACAATTAGTTACTGATTGAGACTTCCAAAAAATTAAATGACTATAGTACTGTCAGCTGGTTTGGAGAAAGCCTTGGAGAAAGAAAAAATTGTTCTTAAAATCAAGCTTCATTCAACAGAAAGTTAGTTGTCAACTGTCATACTAGGGCCCAGATCACAGGACACTGACAGTTGACCCCAAACTGAGAATTGTTCTCTCATTGTATTGCATTCTCATATACATTCAGCCGTGGAATTCTGTACACACTCTAATATCCTACATAAAGTGCTCACATCCTCCTTTTCGACTGGGATTCACATCTTTCTTTATCATGTTAAATGCCTGTATTATGGCCCTGCAGAACATTTCAGGAAGCACCAAATGGGCAAGCAGAACAATTCAAAATTAGGATGTGCACCTGTGGCTGGCTTTTGCAGAGTCTCACTTTGGTTCATCAAGCCCTGGTTTGGCTAGAGGCACAGGTGAATCCTTGCTATAGTAACAGATCAACAATCCAATAAGAATAGTGCATTATACATTAATCATACAGGGTACATTCATACAAGCTGATAGACTAAAGCATGGTTGGTTGGTTTGTGGTTTATTGTATCATGCAAATATAGCCATAATATACCATACTGCCTAACACTGGTGTATTGGCTAGATGAGATAAGGCCTTTAATTTGCTCTTTAATATTTTACTTATTTAGAACGTAGAGACTTGTTTGATTATTAAGGTATCAGGAAGAAAACATGGCACATACATTCAAGATACAATATTCCCCCTCAAATCCCAATACTAAACAAATGTTCAAAGAGGACAGGAATTCAAATAATGTTCTTAAGGCAACATATGTCTTAAAGACTAAGATTTCAGGCTGAAAACTGCAGTGAATGCTGAGGACATTCCACATTTTAATTTCAAATACTAATTGCATCCATTATCAAAGTGGACAAGGAAGATGTAGATGCTGTAGTGTAGTGTGTTCCAGGAATGAATGATATCCAAATGAAAGTTGTGGTGGTCTCTTCCTAAATTAACAACTGAATGTAAAACGTATAGCTTACATCAAGAAAATCTCCCAAATCAGTTCCAGCATCACCAGCTAAAAAATCTCAGGCAGTTCTAGTTCCAGCAGAGCAGAAGAAATTTCTTCAAGGGGCCTTGAATAGACTTTGTTTGATACAGCTAAAACGTCATTACCAGACTGGACTGTCTAACTCAGAAAGAAGTAGCTTCAACATTTTTTTCAGGCACTATTCTTTGACTGAGTTCAGATAATGCACTAAACGACAATGTGCTTAATTTGTCAGTAGTATTGGTGAATCCATCCATTGTGACTATCAAACTCTGGTTCATCACTCAACATACCATATAGACCTGGTCAGTTGTTTATTCAGCAATTTATGTCTAAGCAAACAATGGCTTGACATGATATGTGAACCAATCTAAGTGCAAGGTTGAATCCTAGCCCAGCCTCTGCATTTTTCAGCATGACCTGGAAAGATGAAACTTTGTCCACAATTATCCTTTGAAAGTAGAGGTATTGAAATGAAAAGTGGTGCAAACCTTCATGTCATTCATCCATTTGTGTTGTATCCCTCCTTTCCTCTGAGAACCTAGTTCAGATCCTAAACTATGTTATTAGCCATCTTAATTTTCTATATACATTAAGTTCTGGTCAAGGGGAATGGAAAAAAGCATTATACACATATATTGTAGTCAAGATCTCAGAGATAGCAAGGATAAAGACTTGCATATTTGTAAAGAGAGGAGCAGGAAAGGCCTTCCAAACATTGTTCTTTCCCTTTTTAAATACTGCATTTAGTGCAGGTTCCCATCTATATGGGAGTCATGTTCATAGCTCTATAATTTCTTCAAGATGTGCAAAAGGCAGACTTCTGGAGGAGGTATGGTGAACTGAAGACAGCTCTGCGAAAATGGAGCTGACGACTGCAGCACCTCTTGAAACCTCTTCACCTCTTGGAACTTCTCCAGATAAGGAGTGGACAGGAGATTGCCCACATGTGCTCCAGATGGCTGCTCCCCACAAGGAGACCGCAGGACAGCAGTTTTCTGTGGATGTGAGCACTGGGAGACAACAGGAATAGTCATCTTGCTTGCAAACACAGTCAGCGCCTTTTAAAGGACACTAACTTTGCTAACTTCACTTTCTAATCACTTTCAGAAATTGCTCATTAACTATTTCTCAGCTATTAGAGACCTTCAAAACGACAAGTTTGGAAATGCTGGATGAGTCTGCCTTCAATCCTGAATGAAATAAAATTTTAATCAAGAATTTTAAGAATCTGAAATAAACAGCAAAAAGCTAAATAAGATTTTGATCTTAGAAAGTTATAAATGGACTAAAAGTCCATATAAAATTGGAATATTGACACAATAAGATTTTGGAATTATAAAGAACAAACAGCTTCTCTTGGGAAATATATTCTGTTCTGGTTTTTACAAGACAACACAAAGATAACCAATTTCATGATTTCAAAAAATGGACACTGGAGGGGACTAAAGATTTTAGATAGAGGAAAGATTTACAAGCCTATACAATGATGCAAAACGTTGTGACAGTGAAAATACTGCAGGAGACTTTTGAAGAATGAAATCAGAAAATAGTAGCCACAATATCAACACTGCCAGTAATGATGCCTGCTTCTATGGATAGGCTATGTCCAGAAGATGTTATTGAAGAAATGAGAGAGGTAGAACAAATTTTATCTGACAAGATAGAGATGGTATTGAAGGTGAATTTACAACTGACAGGCCAAGAGAATGACTTAGAAAAGGATGTTTCACTGGATCTACAAAG